ATCAGCATATGTACATGGCATATATATATATATAAAAATAATAAAAGAAGCATGTGCGTTGCAAACCAGCAACAACACGAAGTAACGACAACAGCTCAATAACAGTAAATGTGTGCGTATCTAATCATTAACGTTATCATCATCATCATCATCTTGTGATATGTGTATAACTATTATGTATTTATTTAGACATGGCGACCCACCGGTTGTGGTTGTCGGCCTCTTCCTCTAGCTTGGGGTGGGGCCGGCGGTGGATAATCGTAATAGTAATCTTCATACCGGTAATACTCGTCATAATAAGGATCACTGTAGCCGCCTCGATAATCCCCATAACCGTAATAGTCGTAATCGTAATCTATAAAAATACACAACAACAAAATAATACCAGTCTCCCAATTTTTCGCTTTTTCTTTTCTAGAATTCTTTCCATCAATCCAATACTAATATCACCATTAGCAATATCAAAACAATATTAGCAAATAATTAGTAGTCAATTATTTGTTATTTTTGTTCGACTTTATTATAACACCCATTAAATTTCTGATAACTTTGATAAGATTTCGCTTTCGTTTTAAGAATCACTTGTTCATATCGTGTTTAAACCAAACAATTAGATTAGGTATGTAACTATTTTAAAATAAAACGAAAAAAAACATGCCGGGAAAAGTCAAGTAACGATTCTTGGCCAGACAGAATAATTACAGTAGCAGCTCTTCGTATTTAAATAAATAAACACTACGTCCACTAAGCATGCATTAAAAATACAATCTGAGACCAATGACGACTTACTTGAAATTGTCGAATATGAATGATGCGAGTGTCTAACTATACCAAATATGTATATATTAAAGGAATTATCGGCATCGCCATAAATGAAATTTAAATTAATAATGAAGAAATTGCTGATACCGATACATTTTCACCAATGGGTACAATTTGTCTTAGATTGTATCTTTAATACATCCTTTTATTAATCGGCGAATAATACTATAAAAAGAAACATCAACAACAATAACAAGACGTCCCTGCACCAGTGCAACTTTGTACTTTTAATGTACTTACTTACCCGCTCCATTGCTGCAAGCATGAAAATTAGAAAACTCAAAAAGGGCATAAGGAGGAAAAAACGACTAAAAAGGGCTAGGGAGGGAAATTGGACTGGCGTAAAAATTCAACACATACACATGCAGCTTGTTAATTATAAAAACAACAATGAAAAAAGGGTAAGTAGTAGTAGTAGTAGTAGCAGGTAGTAAAAGAACGATATATAAAAAAACAATGCGTGCGCAGTATGTAAATAAATGCTTGTACGATGCCCTTTTGCCTCTGGCGGTGCCCCATACTACAAAAACGTTGGCACGCTAAAATTCAACGGAAAAACTTGTATGCACCCTTTCAAAATATCAATATAAATTAGAGCGAATCCTCTTTAATCATCGAAAAAAATATACGTTTGAATTATACCTTCGATGTTCAATAATTAAAATGCGATACATACACTGAAATTTGGCGTGCCTAGCCCGTAAGGGGCTCAGATAGAATATATTAAAACTAAATAATAATCAAAACAATGCGGAAGCTTAAAAAAGGGTTATCCAAAAATAATAATACTGGCGTTTCAGCCACAACACTGTATGGATAGGCTTTCTACTGCCTGCCAAGCAAAGCGATATCAACATAAAAAATAATTAAAAATAAAAGGAATAAACAAAAGCAAAAATAAAGCAACTAAAAGCATAGTAAGCGTTAAGCAAAAAAACAGGGGCGGGGCAGTAGGAATACTTAACGTATAAAGTCGAAATTAACCAAACGAAAAGAGCTTTATGTCGATAATAAAAAAGGAGGCACATGGACAATAATAATAAATCAAATAGTCAGCGTTCTTGTAACGATAAAATAAAGAGCATTAAAAAGCAAAACATTCTAATGACAACAGTAACATAAGTAGTAAAAAATTGTTGTTAGTTTGGCGAAGTAACGCCACACGTAAAAATTGCCCTGTTTTCTTTTTGGATAACCCTGCAAAATTGTTGAATTGTCCGTTTGAATTTTTCCCTTTATTGATCAGGATTGACAATTTTCATTTTGAATTTACGNTTTTTCAATCGAGGTATACATATATATATATATATATGCAATTGAATAATAAATAAATATTACCTTAACTAATTCTTCTCGATTTTATAATACTAATACTTTAAAGAGCATTTTATAAAAACCTTTGTTTTGATTTGTTTTTTTGCCAAAACCAAATTGCACTCATTTAAATTTGAGATAAATTTAACAAACTATTCCAATCTTAAAGATAAGTTACATAAATATTAAGCAAATAGCAAAATGTCCGTTTCTTGTAATTTTCATACAAGGATTTTATACTATTATAATTCACATTTATAAGTAAACAAAAGAAATTGGTATACAATTTTGCAATTTCCATCACCAAATGCAAGCGAATAGAAAGCTGCACAAATACGTGAAATAGAATCTAGTCACCGAAATAAAAAAATGACGATACTGCTCCATGTCAAAAACTTCCAAATTCTTGTACAATTTCTGAATCATTATCACTGTCAATTATTTCATTTGATATTGTTATTTAATTTGCGATAATCTGAATTATAAATACTAAGAATAGTTACTTGACCAAAAGAAAAACACAACACACGTGCGTACTTGCATCCATCCGATTCAAAACGGTCTTATTTTACATTTAAACAAAACGTAAATAGCTAATTCGTTAAAAACAGTTAAGATTGACGGAAACTTACCGTAGTCGCCCCGTCCCATGGGTCCGGCTCGCATTCCAGTTCCAGTCCTCGGACCTTGACCTGGAGGACCACGCATAGGCAAAGCGCCTGGCATCATGCTAATATAAAAAAATCTGTTAAGTTACAGAAAAACAATGAAAATCAAAAAATAAGAAATGAGATAAATTTGAAATTAAGATAAGGCGAATAAAAACTATAGAAGAATCAAAGAAGTACCACTTACCCCCCTCGAACTTGCATCATTTGCATCATTCTTCTCTCTCGAGCACGCAGAATTTCTTCTTTTTTCTTTTTATCAGACGGCGGTTTAGCTAATGACACTTCTATATTTGATCCACCCATTTCCTTGCCATCTAATTCTGTCATAGCCTGTTTACAACAAACAAGTATGTTCATGAATTAATTTTTTAAAATGCCAATATTTTTTTTAACTAAATTTTAATAATTCTTGACATCGCTGTTAATTAATAATGAAGTCGATGTAACTCAACCTCTTTTAATGCAAACGGATAAATTATTACATACATATTTATATAACGACATATACTATCAAATAAACATATAGGATTACCTTAACGGCATGCTCTCGTTCTTCAAAATGTATGAACGCATAGTCTTTAATCTTTTTGACCCGCTCCACCTTCCCATATTGTTCAAATGCTTCTTTCAATTTCTCTTCCGTGATTTCCTGCGTCAAGTTGCGTACATATAACACCTTTACTTTGGCCATCGTCTGTTCGTCGGGTTCCTCCTGTGGATCGGCCCAATCGACAATTATATCGCAACCCCAAACCTTGATACGACCAGTACCAAGGCGCCGTTTTGCCAACGACGCCGCCTTGTGTGATTCATACTCAAGAAAACAAAAACCGCGGTTCTTTTTCTTGTCATCGGGGGAGCTGTAGATTATCACCTCAACCAGGCCGGCTGAATGATCGAAGGAAGAAAGCACGAGAAAAGAAAAACCAAAGTTGCGATAACGTCATAAACGTAATAGTATAATACAATATGCGTCAACGTCGTCATTTAAGTTATATGGTAAACTGTCATTGTAAGTACCAAACATAAAATCAGCATATGTACATGGCATAAACATATACGGAAAAACGCAGGTACATTTCTTTTATTTTTAGTTTAGGGCACAGAAAAATAGTTATCTCTCATTTGGGAAGAATAGGCATACATGCATTTAAAATTAAATTGAAGACAGTCTTGCAAGAGACTAATATTAAGATTTTACATTAATAAAATTTTCATGGTTATGAAAACAACCAATTAGTATCTTTTTAATTGTAAATTAATTAAAAAAATTATCACTGTTACTATCCTTCCTAAATGTTTAGTTTACTCTATACAACCTTTCCCTTGCCGCAAATTAAAAGCATTTCTATTTATCACGAATATTCTAAGTAGAAAGTGGACAGTGGTAAAAGAACAAATAAATAAATCAAAAAGAGACTTAGCATTACCTTTCTGTTGTAACCAGGGTTAGTATCTTTTTGGCTTATTTATTTAATTGTAAGAATATTCTAATTTTGCAAACGCAAAGTAAATACTATTCAGGGTTTAATAAAATAATGTCTGATTGTGGGTACGTTTTAGTTATAGCCAGCCACTTCTTCCTTTCAGTTGCCTTCCCTGATGAGTAATATTTGCGTCGACAGAATTGGATTATTTTTCAAAGATACCAATAACGAAAGTACATAATTTATGTACTTTTATTAGTTCGTTTCGTCATATCTTTTACGTTCCTGTCAATGTATGAAACTTACGTGCATGTTTGGAAAACTCTTCCAACAGATCGTCCCGATCCCGGTTCTTTGGAATATAGCCCACAAACAACCGGTGATTGTTATACGATATGGTTACGCCAATCTTTTTGCCCTTCCGTATCTCATAATCATTCAGCTGCAAGAACATTGGAAGGGTAGCCAATTATTGCGGCGGGAGACGGAAAGGGCGCATTTATTGGATAATTTTTTAGGGAAGGAATTTTGGGTGAACTATTTCAAAATCATGAATGGGGGGGGGGTTGATATAAAGAAATTTAGTGAATACGCATAACAAACGCCGGTCGGGGGTGCGGTCGAACCGGAAAAGGGAGTAATAATATTAGTGTGGAGAGGACAACCTGGACTTTGGGAAAAGGCGGTGTCTGTCTCGTGTATGTGTTTGTATACAAATGTTCTCCAAAACTTTAGAATTTAAGCCAATTATGAAGACGAGCGTAGAATTTCTTATTTATAATAAGAATACCGTCATTGATAATAGTAGCTATATAATTTTTCTTAATTTTTAATTTTGCACTTTACCTGTCAATTTACTGAACTCTTCCAGTATCTCCTCTTTGCCTTTAGACTTTGGTATGTTGCCGACGAAAAGCCGAAGGTTCGGAACGCTTATGTTAATTTTCAGCGTCTTGCCTGGTTTGATTTCGTAATTATCAAGCTGCGGGACGAAAAACAGAAAAAAACATGCCAGAATTTTGTATGCCACATTACAAATGATTACTTATGTATTTTTTTAAATCAAAAATAAAGAAAAAATAAAAAAATAGATACCAATACAAAACAGTTTTCAAATGATAATAATTAAAACAAAAAAAAAAAAAAACGAACGGCGAACTTTATAATTCGCAGTCATTGTTTTAGATGATAGCTAAAATTAAAACTACAAAGACAATTTTGTTCACCAAAAAAGAAAGGATAATTTTGCGCCACTAAAGAGAAAGATAATTTTGTACTGAAGACGACCCAAGAATATCCAGACAAACGGGGCTTTTAAAATATAAGTACATATACTTTCTTTCTTCGGCTCTCCTTTCGAGCTATGGCAGAAAAGTAAGTTTTCTACTACCTCCTTCCATTTTCGAAAAGTTCGAATTTTGACGCAGCAAAAGACAGAAACCAAAGATTTAAATTTCTATAAATACAAAGAAAAAACCGCACTTTCGGTCTCAATTTTGCCCCTTGTGCAAAGAGGAGACCTGTGTAAAATATCGGAAATGCAACAACGAATAACCAACTGATCCATCCAAGTGGTATGCCAAAGAAAAACATATCCGAAAAATACGGAATTAATTCGAAAATTTAGTTCATTTCTTTTTCTTCGTTCGATGAACATTGCGACGGGAATAGATAAATAAATGCAATATTCGACACAGGTGTATGTGTGAATTAGATAAGAGATAGAAAGGGAATGAAACATCATCACATACTCCGTAGTAAGAGCCGCTGCAACAAAATATCAGAAATTCAATGGTCGTTGGCGGTAATGTTCATTATGTTTTCCATATAACTAAAACGCCATATTTTGTAATATTATTAATAGGGCACTAAACGAGCAGCAGATCAGTGGCGAAAAGACTCCATTCGGTAGCAGATGAACAATATTAAACACTGAAAGAGTAAATAGTAGAGCACAAATCCAGCAAGCACCGCAATTTACAATTAGAAAAAACTGAATATACATGAGACAAAAGTATGTATACTAGTCAAAGTTAATTTTAAATGAAAAACGAAAATGTGCTCTATTAAATATTACCTAGTATTATTAACTCTTACATATTTTAGATATTTTAGTATTCTTCTAGGAGCCAACAGTCAATTTCATCAAGAAAATCTATATAAAAGAGGTTAGACCCATATTTCTGACATCAATGTCTCCTTGCGAGAAATGCTAATTTTGAAAATGAAAGACGAAATTTTGAGGTTTACTTTTAACCATTCGATAACTGCTTGTTATGAAGCAGAAAAAATTCAACAATTTTTATAGAAGAAAAGCAAAGCACAACTTCCCAATTTCTACTACTTTTCATATTACACTTAAAAACATAAAAACTGTAACACAGTATAAAAAATATATGAAGTTGCAACAAATTTGATCAATATTAATGTGCATACACGTATAAAAAACAACAAAACCGCAAACTTAAAAATTTAATCATGAATACTTCCTATCTAAATTGAAAACAGTTCTTTTATCTATAGATTCTTTAATACATCAAACTAATGAGAAAACATTTCATGGACAAATCGCACAACTCGAAAAATTAACATGTACAGCAAATAAGTTATTCTACACTCTTACCTTTTGAACGGCTGCCTGGGCAGCGTCGCGTCCTGTGAAGGTTACAAATGCGTAGCCCCGATTCGTCCCCGTCATTGGGTCCATCATTAGTCGTAAGTCCCAAATTGTACCACACTGTTCAAATAATGGGATCAGTTCGTCTTCATACATATCCTTTGGAATCTTGCCGCAAAACACTTCGCAACCGGGACCAGGAGTTGGACCCTCCCAACCTGGAGGAGGACCACCATACTTTCTCTGACCTATTACAAAAGTTTATTATCATGCGTGTTTTAAAAATTAAATGGTTTAATTAAAAAAAGGTATACATGTAATCCTCAAATATCCTTCAAATGACAATATTACAAATAATATATGCAATCAATGTTCAACTTAAATCAATAAGCAGGAACAAAAAATTGTCCGTCAAAGTCTAAAGGCGATTTTTGTAAAGAATTCACTTTTAATTTTGTATTTTTAATTAAGAAATACAATTGGTCACCAGCAAAAGTATATGTATTTGGCGATACAAACAATAGAACACTTCTTTAGTTCATGTGGAAAATAATTATTAAGATAAATTCAAAACCTGGCTTGGTTTTACTTAACATGATCATCCACCCTGTTTTAAGCCGGACTGTCCCTTTTAAATTAAGGAAGACGATTTTTAATTGAATTTAAGCACTGATTGTAATGAAGATGCATAAATATTCAATAATCTTTAGGTATTTCTAAGAACACTACATTAAAGTAGCTATTGAAATGATCCAAATGTTTCGACTGAAAATCATTTAAATGTTGAACAATGATATGTATTGGATCAATATCCACCATTCAATGGTTTTTGGACTTTTAATTAATGAGAAAATGTTTACAAGAAGCACATAAAAATACCTTTTGATCTGTAATTTTTCTTACAAAAACTACCTGTTGTAACATCTAATGTGTATCCTGTTCTCTCAAGTATTGCTTTTATTTTGTCTTCATCGGGCCCCTTGACTGGAGCCGCGGCAGGTGTAGGTGGACCTTGACTTGATCCAGCTCGACTTTTTTGACGATATGTTTTCATTACGCCACATAAGTAAGCTGACTTATTCGAAACATGTTCCAGATTTGATTCAAGAAACTGTCCCAGTACATTAAGTGCACCATCAACTGGAAATTCTTTTAATGCGTCAAGAGCCCGCTCATCCAGATCGACGTGGGCCAATTTACCAGTCTTGTAGATGTCGTCAAGTTTTGCCGCCACTTTTTCGTCTAGGCCATATTCAAGTAATTTCTGATAATCTTCCGTCCTCTGCTGATTATCTTCGACTTTCATCGACTCTTCTCCTGCCAATTCACCATTCCCTTCTGCCATAGCTAATATAAAAATAAAATTGACAAAAATTTTTATCTAAAACTTAAGATATACCTATACATCCCTTTCTTTTTAAAACGCTTTTTTAAAATTAAAAGTTACTATTGCATACCAACAGTTAGGTATTACTATGTGAGGTTAGACTATACAAATTCAGTTTCCTCTTTTCAATCTTCAAACATTTATGTTACCATCATTTAATGTAAAACAATTTCTAATGAGTAACTACCTAGGCATATATTATATTAATATTAAAGCTACTCTACACTTACTCTTAATAAACTGCAGTAACTTCAACTGCACTATGACGGATAACTCGTCAAAAATTCATTATGCACAAATAAGAGTTCTATGTAAATGCTCTTAATTACTAAGATGAAATTAATTGGTGATCATAAAAGTAATAATCCAAGGCATGATTGTCCCCATTGTGATGATTGTCAAATCTGTTGTTACTAATTTATATCCAAATTTTCATTTAACTTTAATAATTACCTATGAATAGCAGAGACGTTAAATTAAGGAAAAGTATGTTATGACGGCAACTTTTCGATTTTCCCGCCAACATTGTCCACCGCTGCGCCGGTAGGTAAACGAACTCAGTGTTACCGGTACAGCCTCAAGAATTAATTTTTATTTATTTTTGCGACGAGCAATTCGAAAACCAACAAATCGTAATAAGCGGCTGTGAAAAGGCATAGTTGAACAACGATGTAAATAGGTAATTATCTCAAAAAGAAATCCGGCGTTACTTATATATAGCTGCTGGTTTACGAATTTTGGACCAGAGGTAAGATAAAATTTAGAGGGACATACCTGGTTAAAATACTTTTGGATAAGTAATTTCGTCAGTTAATGATAAAAATTGCCAATATTTTGCACTTTGCCTATTCAATGATAATTTACTTTTAATGATTCTAAAAATGGCCGCCGCAATTTACGCGAGTGAAGGCAACGTAACGCCCATGGACTGAGAAACTGCGGGGTTCACAAGATGACGCGCAGGGATTTTAGCCTCGAACCCAGTGCATATTCTACAACCGGAAAATGAAATTCCAAATGACGATGAAATTGCGGCAAAAGCGGCATTCCAGTGTACATTAAGAAAAAAATAAATAATCGAAAACACATAACACTGAGAAAGCACTGTTGTGCGTTAAAATTACAAGGACTCATTAGTATTTTAAATTCTCATTCACGGAGAATTATAGACACATTCATTTAAAAAAAGCATTGCCGGTTTTATGAAGTGAACAAAAAAAATTTGCAAACACTTGATAATATTTAAACAAAAAATGTATAAATTTGAATACATAAAATACATACCAATTAATTAAAACAATATAATCCTTTGTAACACGCACTAATGCACTTCATTAACAAATACAACCAACATATTTGCAAAAAACTTTAAACTTAAAGAGACATATACTTAACAATTATTAAACTGTACAAAATAATGAATCTAATACGTTTTATATTATTGCTTTAAAGGTAAATAAAATAAAACGAGCAACTCGAAAATTTTGAATAAAATTTTGAGTTTTCGGTGTAGTACCTACTCCAATTGGCCTTAGCCGAATGCAACGTGCGCTTTGCGCCCGAGAAATCCGTTGCTGTGCAACCCGTCTAGGGCGGTCCGCCGTCACTTGCATTCAGGTTGTTCGCCGTCAACGGTCATGCGCGTTTTTGCTAAAATCGAATGTAAACCTGTCTATTTTATTTTGCACAACCTATACACACTTATGTTTACACATACACGAATGTGATTATGCACAATTCATAACAGAGCGTTCTTTAACGTCTGGGAGACGTGTGAGAAAATAGAATGCACACACAAGCTGAATTCTCATGTGTGGTACCTATAATAATAAAAATACGACTGCCTATACAGCGAATGTAGGCAAAAAAGAAAACAATTACCTACATGTAGATACCTATTAATTAATATAACAAATCAACTTGAACTTGTTTTAAAGTGTATTTAGTTTGAATAATTGTCCTTTTTGCTGATTTTTATATAATTTTCTTTAATTTATTGCATTATTGCATTAAACATTTTATTTCATCTCATAATACTGAGAAATAAATAGGGTCAAAAAGTAGTATTTGTGAACTTNATTACCTACATGTAGATACCTATTAATTAATATAACAAATCAACTTGAACTTGTTTTAAAGTGTATTTAGTTTGAATAATTGTCCTTTTTGCTGATTTTTATATAATTTTCTTTAATTTTACTAGCCGTTTTTAAGATTAATTGTAGTCATTAATAATAGGTACATAAAACAAGGTATAGTGTACTCGACTTAAGTAATTACACAATTAGCCCTGAAGAAGTCCAACAGAAGCGCGAAACGTTAGGATATCGTTAATTCAGAACAATACAATACAATACATGCAAATTATACATATCAGAACATTGAAAATTGATTGTTTTCAAGGTACCAATTAATACCTATTTTTAACAGTAGTCGAATATTTTTACTTTACGTAGTTTGATCAGTTCTTAACTTTTTTGATTTAGCTACTCCAAAATATGTGTAAATAAAGCATTACACGGGATGCCTATTATTTGCAAAAATGCTCCGAGTTAAAAGCAGCTGTTGCCTGAAAATGTTCAATCCGTATAGTTAGACCGTGGTCACGACAATCAATCAACTGAGACATTAAGAAAAGAGTATAATGAAAAAGTGAGATTGTATTATTAAGTATGCGTTGTACTACCGGTGTCGTCGTGACCAACGAGAGGGAAAAGGGGTAGTTTTGTCCGTTAAGATTCTGTTAAAAGGAAGCACCATTTCTTTCAACACCTGGTGCTTTGTTTACCGTCACCTCATGGATCTCGAATTCAACAAGTGTCAGGTAGCATATATGTAGGTACATAGGTATATTCGTTCATGTAAAAATACCAGTTTCTCAAGTTTAGCCTAGTTTTAAAGGATAAAAAATCTTAAAATTGTAAAAATTATAAACTGTTGTATTTCCTTCTCTGATTATTTTATACGTTCCGTCCAGGCCGTTAAAATAACAATACATATGTATATGCAAAACTGAAATCACCTATCAAATTTTATTAAGATGTGTATGTGTATTATTATTAGGATAGTCGACGAAGTGCAATATTTAAAAACCACAATGCCTCGGAAAACCTGTTTGTCCGACAAACTTTGTCGTTGGCGGGAACTTTCATGTTTTACAATGTGCACAATTTTTATGGAATGAAACCTATTTATGTTCCCCACTCTATACCATCAAAGGAAGGGGGTTACTGTTCTACTAAAATAATTATTGAGCTTCCGAACCCTCGACTGTTTATGCCCTAATGCGTTTGCGTGATATGTCCTCGACTGAAAGTAGCATTTACCTATATGGATAGGTACAGGTAGGTTTGTGTTTCGTGGGTACCTAAATGTGTTCATGAACACAAAAAAATAATAAAATAGTGGTAATGTTTCCACAAATTTATTGACGATACTCGACAATTGTTTCGAAGTAGCCTGTCATTATCAAGAATAAGAATGTATACTGAAGAAAATAGTGTTGAAAAATATAACTAATTTTAATTGTAAGCCTAGATGTGCACAAGATGTTTGGCAAAATTGGACAAACTTTATTCTATATTCTATAGTGATGTTGAAAATTCCTAAGCAATGTAATAATAAGTGTTTTATTTTATTATATTTTTTGTGTTTAATAATGCTAACAACTGCATCATGAAAACTTTAGGTAGTGTTCATGATTACTAATTCTAGCGGCTAGAGGCGTATTAATGTCGGCCTCCTGTCTTATTAAAGGTTCTCGCAAAAAAAAATAAGTAATATTTATCCAATGGTCTTTAGCAATACTAGTAGTTAGGGATTTCCCTAGCTAAAGGATTCATACAGGCCAAAAACTTGTTTAAAAAAATATATGGGATTCTCATGCTCGTTTAGTTCTGCTTACTATTTTAAATGTCTTTCCTAACCGAGTAATAAAAGGGACCTCGCAAAGCGGATTTCACCGACGTTCAGGTTCGGTTCGGCTAGTTTCACTGTGGGTGGGAGAATTCACACCCAAAAATCCCTTAATGCCTCAAAATAAATTGCAGACTAAAATATTTACAAAAAAATACTAAAAGAGACAGTAAGATGTGTGTGGTACAATATGGTTAAGATCACAGTGCCCAAAGAAGTAATAAAACAAAGGGTTAAGTGGAAGCATTTAACAAAAGAATTATATTACCTTTTGATTTTGGCTACAAGTATGTTTTTTTGTGTACAAAAACTGTTACCTGACTAAATAGGTAGTTCGCTTATCGCTTTAATATTTCGACAGTGACCTCTGATTCTAATACATTCGTCACTATATGTATCTATCTTATTAATAAAATACAACCAACATATTTGCAAAAAACTTTAAACTTAAAGAGACATATACTTAACAATTATTAAACTGTACAAAATAATGAATCTAATACGTTTTATATTATTGCTTTAAAGGTAAATAAAATAAAACGAGCAACTCGAAAATTTTGAATAAAATTTTGAGTTTTCGGTGTAGTACCTACTCCAATTGGCCTTAGCCGAATGCAACGTGCGCTTTNCACCCTTTCAATAAAAATTAAATTAGGAATTATTGTTAATATTTTTAACTCTTAGACATAAATAATATAAACAACTACCTACGTGCTGTAAATTTTTAGCGAACAAAAAATCGATGTGAAATTTATTCGGTATAAATGCTCAATATTTTTGTGCTGCCCCATATATTGGCGCCCCGAACAAATGCCCGGGTTGCCCGTCTTTAGAGACTTGTCTATGTCTAGAGCGGGCGCTGTTTACAATTTTGTGTACCTACGTTGGAATTGCTTGGATATTTTTTGAATGGTGATTATTTATCACAATGATTTACTGTTTAGTTTGGCAAAGTAGGCTAAGCCTGCCCTGCTTTCTTTACTGGCTACGACTCTGACACGTGGGTATGAGGGTAGTATGCTTGTAACTAACAATAAATAAATATTAATACGGTTGAATAATAAATAATAAATTCTTGATTTATTATTTAATAATATATACTAGTCTCCTATTTAGAAAACTTAAATTAAACAAAATATCTGATAACGGACCGGACACACCTAAAGAAAGCCATGATGTCATATTAGTGTGGTCATACTAGTACTGGTCTAGCCACTCCCACCTGTTGATGTTTATCATAGATGACCTGTCAAATTAAACGAATTAAATCTTGTGATGTCTTGTGTTTTGTACATGCCTTGTAAAAGTAACTAAAAACTACCTACCTATTTGGGAAACACAGCCCAAAGCCCGAATAAGAGCTTAGTGGGAGGTTAGAATACTCATACATTTAACCCTAATAACTAAAATAAGTGAACAATGTGCTTGATTTGTGTTTAAATTGAATTAATTATAAAATGGTTATCGAAAAACAGAATACGATGATGTTCATAGTGGCTTGTGCTATTTGTTTACTAGCATTGGGCGTGTACGGACAATATGAGTGGCAACCGCGAGATGTCTTCGACGAAGTTCGTCTTCAAATGGATAAAGTTAACAAAGATAATTGTCTTATTCAACACGTAGGTGATTTATACCTACCGGAAGATTCAGTTTCCCATTTGCCTGACATTAAAGATGTCAACATCAACCCTGTCTTTCCAAATAGGACTTCGTTACTTCATTTACATAATATGGCTCTTAGTAGGGCATTTTTCTGGAGCTATATTCTACAGAGTCGTTTCATTAGGCCAGCAATTAATGATACATATGATCCAGGAATGATGTATTATTTCTTGTCTACAGTTGCTGATGTTTCTACTAACCCTAGTATAAATGCTAGTGCCATTTATTTTGCTCCAAATATGTCTTATTCATCATCTTATAGGGGTTTCTTTAATAAAACGTTTCCTCGATTTGCACCACGAACTTTTAGGGCAGATGATTTCAATGATCCCATTCATTTAGGTATTTATCAAAAATATATAGTTATAATTTGATCTTATGTTTGTAACAATTTCAGAAAGAATTTCAACATGGAATACATTCACCGTGCAAGATTTAGGAGCTATAGAACTTAATACAAGCAAAGATTATACTTCGGACTATTATAGGATAAATGAATGGTACAAACATTGGCTTCCAGATTATGTGATAGGGCGACATGACACTAAAACAACTTATCAAGTTGAAATTCGTTATGCTAATAACACAAACGAAACGTTTACATTCCATGGACCTCCAGGAGCTGATGAAATTCCTGGGCCAGTTAAATGGACTCGGCCCTATTTTGATTGTGAAAGATCCAACCGTTGGCTGGTTGCAGCGGTTGTTCCTATAGCTGATATATATCCAAGACATACTGGCTTTAGACATATTGAATATCCTACGTTAGTATTTATCTTGATTCATTATGCTTCTAGATTTTATTGATTTTTGATATGATTTCAGTTACACTGCTGTATCAGTCGTAGAAATGGATTACGATCGAATAGATATCAATCAATGTCCTAAAGGAATGGGTAACAATGGACCAAATAAGTTTATGAATACGGCTAGATGTAAAAAAGAAACAACCGAAGTATTTTTTTATCCTGTAGTTATTTTTTCCTCTTAATAAGAATTCGTATTTTAGTGTGAACCCATTCATGGTTGGGGTTTTAGAAGAGGTGGCTATCAGTGTCGTTGTAAACCTGGTTTTCGCTTACCTTTCCAAGTACGAAAACCTTATCTGGGTGAATTAGTGGAAAGGGCTACTGCTGAAGAATATTACAATAGTTTTAATTGCTTGAAAATAGGCTGTAAGAATCTATAAACAAAAGTCTTTTAATTTGTATTTGCATTTTTCTATTTATATTTTAGATGTTCAAAGATTGCCAGTTCAATGGGAAAAGGCTCCTCAGTATATTCGGGATTTTTATTTAGAAAAATATCACGAATATAAAAATTCCAGTAGTGGACCAGATGCCCTTAAACCACCCAAAATGAATATCCATCGTGTACTCGATTATATTCTTAATATGAATAAGGACAATTGCAAACAGTACAAGCCTCAGGATTTGGTACTTAGTGGCGGTTTTGATTATGGTGCTGAAGAGTACTTCCAAAATGAGGCTAAAATGGCTTTGCGACTTGCTAATTTCATAAGTGCATTCTTACAGGTACATTTTTGAAAAATTGAAACAAATTTATTTAGAAGGGTTAAATTGCAAACGGTTTTTTATAGCAGACAACACAATTTTCTATGAGTGTTTTTATTTCCATTTTCAACTAACAACTAACATTTCAGCAGTGTGGGCCTTAATCAGTTTTAGTTGGACTTGTAATTCAACCTTTTTACAGTTATGCATTCACAAACATCAAATGATAATGTTAAATGTTTTTATTTATCGAAGTTCTTTACCAAAAACTAAAAAAGAATTTCTAGTAATTCAAACAAAACCTAATATAAATAAGTATCATAATATAATAACAGATAACAGCGTTAAACAGCGAATGAAATTAAAAGTTAAAAACTGAAAATAACAGAAATTATAAGGTTAAATTTTTTTTGAAAGAAAATAAAAAAATACATGAAAATTATGTGCAGGTATCAGATCCAAAAGAGATGTTCTCTGGAAAAAGGGTAGCAGATAAACCTTTGACTGAAGATCAAATGATTGCTGAAACATTGTCTATTGTTTTGGGAAATAGCAGAATATGGTCAGCGGGAACTTATTGGGAAAGAAATAAGTTTACAAATAGGACATACTTTGCCCCATATGCTTACAAAACGCAATTGAATACTAGAAAGTTTTTCGTAGAAGACGTGGCAAGATTGAATAAGAGCGGTAGGTAAAAACATAATTTTGGATGTTATATATCTAATATAATTATGTTAAAGCTTCATTAAATGTTTACCTTTTTGTTACATGATTCTTTTAACAGATGAAATCTATTCCAACAAACCTTGGTATCAGTTCTTAAAACAGCGGTGGTCGACTAACTTTGACAGTCTTGAAAAATATTACATGAAAATCAAAATTCGATTTAATGAAACAGGAGAAACTCTACGAAAATACGAGCATTTTCCTAACTTTTATAGGGGAGCAAAATTAGAACATGGTCATTGGACTACCCCATATTACGACTGTCATGGTAAAGTTCCCATGTGGAAAATAAAGTACGCTGCTCCATTTTTCGGTTGGGATAGTCTCAAAGCGAAACTTGAGTTCAAGTAATGTATTTATATTTTTCTACTTTTTTTGCAGTTTTACTAATTGAACATGTGATTTATTTGTAATGTCATAATGGGAAAAGTTTATGCGGAAGCATATTACGATCATGACACTAACGTTATTTTTTTAAGAAAAATATAAATGGCTTACTTACATAGATCTACCATAGCTTCTAATCGATCAGTCCCAAACGTCTTATTAATTTCAGTTTTAGAATTTAATCTTTCTCAACTTTAAACGGCCAATAATTTACACAAACTGATATTTCTTTGTTTTGTTGTTGAGGCAACCGTGATTTACTTTAAAGACTAGTCAGTAGGTATAATAGTTTGTATGGCATTTAGATACTTTCTGTTTAATTAAAAGCATATGCTTTTTAAAATAATATACTGATACTTAAGTGCTTTATTTTTTATATAAATTTAGCGGTAACATTAAATTTGGCGCTTAACGAATTACAATAAATACATATGTGTAGTATTCGAACTATTAATTATTGTGAAAGGTAGAATGAGCAGCAAGTCTAAATTTATACCTTATTGGAAAGGATTAGATTTAATATCTTAATTAATGTCACTGTAAAAACTATATTAAAATCATAATTACAAAAAAGCTACATTCAATTTACTAAGAGTTCATTAAAAATTTACATAGTTCTAATTTAATATCAAAAAAATGTTACTACCATAACTATAGTGAAAAATAGTATATTGGCTAGTTATTTTTACTATATTATTTAATATTATAAAAGAAAAATTCAGTTCGGGA